AGGATTGCAAGCCCTGCCTTTTCTTTTTTTTTTTTTTTTGGCTTTCTAATTGCTTGGCAAATCTTCTTCCATCCCTTTTATTTGAGCCTTGGTGTGTCTTTGCACGTGAGATGTGTCTCCTGAATGCAGAACACTGATGGGTCTTGACTCTTTGTCCAATTTGCCAGTCTGTGTCTTTTAACTGGGGCATTTAGTCCATTTACATTTAAGGTTAATGTTGTTACGTGTAAATTTGATCCTGTCATTATTACGCCAGCTGGTTATTTTGCCCATTAGTTGATGCAGTTTCTTTATAGTGTTGATAGCCTTTACAATTTGGTATGTTTTTACAGTAGCTGGTTCTGGTTTTTCGTTTCCATATTTAGTGTTTCCTTCAGGAGCTCTTGTAAGGCAGGCCTGGTGGTGACAAAAATCTCTCAGCATTTGCTTTTCTGTAAAGGATTTTATTTTATTTCTTCACTTTGAAGCTTAGTTTGACTGGATATAAAATTCTGGGTTGAAAATTCTTTTCTTTAAGAAGGTTGAATATTGGCCCCCACTCTCTTCTGGCTTGTAGGGTTTCTGCAGAGAGATCCACTGTTAGTCTAGTGAGATTCCCTCGGTGGGTAACCCGACCCTTCTCTCTGGCTGCCCTTAGCATTTTTCCTTCATTTCAACCTTGGTGAATCTGACAGTTATGTGTCTTGGGGTTACTCCTCTCAAGAAGTATCTTTGCGGTATTCTTTGTTTTTTCTGAATTTGAATGTTGGACTGTCTTGCTAGGTTGGGGAAGTTCTCCTGGATAATATCCTGAAAAGTGTATCCCAACTTGGTTCCCCTTTCCCTATCAATTTCAGGTACACCAATCAAACGTAGGTTTGGTTTTTTCACATAGTCTCATATTTCTTGGAGGCTTTGTATATTTCTTTTCATTTTTTTTCCTCCAATCTTGTGTTCAGGCTTTATTTCATTAAGTTGATCTTTAATCTCTGATATCCTTTCTTCCACTTGATCAATTCAGCTATTCATACTTATGTATGTTTCATGAAGTTCTTGTGCTTTGTTTTTCAGCTCCATCAGGTCATTTATGTTCTTCTGTAACCTGGTTATTCAAGCTAGCCATTTTTCTAACCTTTTTTCAAGGTTCTTAGCTCCCTTGCATTGGGTTAGAATATACTCCTTTCTCTCAGAGAAGTTTGTTATTACCCGCCTTCTGAACCCTACTTCTGTCAATTTATCAAACTCATTCGCTGTCCAGTTTTGTTCCCTGCTGGTGAGGAGTTGTGATTCTTTGGAGGAGAAGAGGTGTTCTGGTTTTTTTGAATTTTCAGTCTTTTTGTACTGGTTTTTCCTCATCTTCATTGATTTATCTACCTTTGGTCTTTGATGTGGGTGACCTTCAGATGGGGTTTTTGTGTGGACATCCTTTTAGTTGGTGTTGATGCTGTTGCTTTCTGTTTGTTAGCTTTCCTTCTAACAGTCAAGCCCCTCTGCTGCAAGTCTGCTGGGGTTTGCTGGAGGTCAACTCCAGACCCTGTTTGCCTGGGTATCACCAGTGGAAGCTGCAGAGCAACAAAGATTGCTGTCTCTTCCATCTTCTGGAAGTTTGTCTCATTGGGGCACCCACCAGATGCCAGCAAGAGCTCTCCTTTCTGAGGTGTCTGTTAACCCCTGCTTGGAGGTGTCTCTCATCAGGAGCCACGGGGTCAGGGACCCACTTGAGGAGGCAGTGTTTCCTTTAGTAGAGCTCAGGCGCTGTGCTGGTAGATCTGCTGCTCTCTTCAGAGTCAGCACGCCAGAATGTTTAAGTCTGCTGAAGCTGCGCCCACAGTTGCCCCTTCCCCCAGGTGCTCTGCCCCAATGAGATGGTAGTTTTACTTATAAGCCCCTGATTGGGGCTGCTGCTTTTTTTTCAGAGATGCCCTGCCCAGAGAGGAGGAACCTAGAGGGGCAGTCTGGCTACAGCTGCTTTGCTGAGGTGCAATGGGCTCTGGCCAGTCCAACTTCCCAGCCATTTTGTTTACACTGTGAGGGAAAAATTACCTACTCAAGCCTCAGTAATGGCGGATGCCCCTTCCCCCACCAAACTCGTGCATCCCAGGTAAACTTCAGACTGCTGTGCTGGCAGTGAGAATTTCAAGCCAGTGGATCTTAGCTTGCTGGGCTCCATGGGGATGGGATCTCCTGAGCAAGACCACTTGGCTCTTTGGCTTCAACCCCCTTTCCGGATGAGTGAAAAGTTCTGTCTCTCTGGTGTTCCAGGTGCCATTGGGGTATGAAAAAAAATCTCCTGCAGCTAGCTCGGAGTCTGTCCAAATGGCTCCCCAGTTTTGTACTTGAAACCCAGTGCCCTTGTGGTGTTGTCATCTGAGGGAATCTCCTGGTCTGCAGGTTGCGAACACCACGGGAAAACTTAAAGTGCACTATTCTTCATGACACAATTCCTTGCTGCTTCTCTTGGCTGGGTGGGGGGAGTTCCCTGACCCTTTGGGGTTCCCGGATGAGGTGATGCTCCACCCTGCTTTGACTTGCCCTCTGTGGGCTGCACCATCTAAACAGTCCCAATGAGAAGAGCTGGGTAATTCAGTTGGAAATGCAGGAATAACCTGCCTTCTTTGTTGATCTTGCTGGGAGCTGCAGATTGAAACTCTTCCGATTCGACCATCTTGCCAGCCACCCCCATTATTAAGTTTCTTCAAGGTAATTATTTTTAATTCCTTTTTTGAATATTTGTTGATTTGATTTTCATCAAGTTCTATTATTTGAAAGTTATTATGTCTTTTTGGTGGTGTCACATTTCTTGATTTTTCATGTTGTGTCCCTGCATTGATGTCTATGCATGCGGTGGGACAATGGCTATTCCAGTTTCTAGAGTGGATTTCATAGAGAAAGACTTTCATCTGTAGTTGAGTGTTTGTGTGCAGGTGACGAAGAGTGGGTAACTCAGTTTTTGAATAGATGCCGTGTGATAGTATCTGTGTAGTTTCTCTAGCTGTGGTCAACGTCAGCAATAATTTTGGGTGCCTCAGTGGCCTAGGCTATGGAAGTTTGCAGCAGCATCAGAAGTAGTGTAGGTTGTTAATGTCCTTGGTGTCAAAGTATTTGGGTGTCCTCCTATTTTTATTTTCCTAAAATTGGAGTGACTTAGCCTAAGGGATTCCTTTTGGTGTTAGCTCTGACCTGGCATATGTGCAGCTGCATTGGTGCTGGGTTACAAATACAGGTCCGTGAAATTGTCATAGAGTCATCATTCTAGACTCAGGGTCTTTTAAACATGTATTGTGACACCTGGGTCTTGGGGTGCAGATTCACTCTCAGGCAGAGTTGAATGTAGATTGCCCACAGAGCCAAGATCTATGACTCTGTAGCACACTCTAGCAGCTGAAGCCCACAGACTGAGTTGTAGCTGTGAGTCTGTTTCTGTGGGTGAGGTGCAGGACAATGCCCTGGCCTGCCTCTGACGTAGAAGGGGTGCTCTTTAGATTTGAGCACAGCAAGTAGAATATGGCTACTATCATTAATAAGATAGGATAGGCACACAACTGCTAAATAACCAAGCTCAAGTCAACAAATGGAAATGTTAATACTGGTTTCGTGAGTGCACTGTTCTTACTTAAGAATAATTTTTAACATGACAAGCTTAGCAAACTGTATGAAGCTGATGTTACCAAGGGAGAGGATTGTCTTCCTCTAGTTAGTAGACATGTTGAGTGGATCTAGTCTATTTCAGTGGTGTTGATTACACAATATTCAATATGACACACGTCACTTGGAGACTCTAAAAGCATCATTAATTTATTACTGGCCTAGGGACTGGTTAAAAAGTAATATGTTTTGTATATTGATGATCTCTTTCAACTAAGTATTCCTTATCCATTGCTTTCTTTCTCTTAACTTCCAATTTATGAGAACTCCAGCCTCTGAGCCTTGGCATATGCATTACCCTTAATCTCTCCTTTATCCCCTGTGACAATTAATTGCTTTATTCTCCATCTTCATGATTGTCATTTCTCTTCACTTTGTATATTTTTTATTTATTCCTGCACTACTGCATCCTAGAACAAGTTGTCTGTTGCCTCCCATCTAGATTATAATAGTGTGGGCCCATCTTGTCATTGCAAACCTATTCTCTTTCTCTATGATTTATCCTACGTTTTGCTGCCGTATTGCTTTTTTCATATTTGTTTTTACAAAATTTCAACTTTGTAATGAATCCGGAGGCAATATTGAGTCCATGTACCTTTCTGACAGAAGAAGGTAATTGCAGACTCTTGATTCAGGCTCACAGTATCTAATGATATGGCCCTAATTTACTTTTTTATTAATTTAGATTGCAGTTGTCTACAGGTAATAATGACTTTAACACATAATGTCTTTACTTATTTCAAATACAGGGAATCTCACAGTGGGGCAATCTAGGGATAATATAGCAGCCCCAAAGCAGTAGAGAGTCAAGAGCCTTCCTTTTTCCCACTAAATTTAGTATACAGACCTTCATGTTCATGATTAAATCCCAGGATGGAATCTACTCTACCTCCTACTTCATATTTGTGTTTTGGGTATGAAAGAGGAAATAGAAGAAGTGGACCTAGAGACTTTCTGCTTATATTTTTTGGCAAAAAACTATGCTGTGTGACTCAGCTAACTGCAAAGAGCCTGATGAATGGAATTTTTAAGGCAAGCATGGAACAAGGGGGTAGGAAATAAAACTTGGGCAAGTTGGTCTACAGCTTCTGCTACACCATACAGTATTTTTTTCTAGTAGTATGCTTTCTAGTTTCTATGTTGGTAACTATATAACAATGTGAGTAATTTTGAACTCACTGTAATCAAATATGCTGGTAAATAATTTGTCAGATAATTGCATTAAATCATTCCTAGGAAAAGCACAACCAACAGTCTGAATTTACTATTGAAAACTTGGAAAACGCTGCAGTTGACTTGTTTGCAGCTGGGACAGAGACGACAAGCACAACCCTGAGATATGCTCTCCTTCTCCTGCTGAAGCACCCAGAGGTCACAGGTATGGTCACAGATAATGAGTAAATTGGTTTTCAGAAAAGATGTTGGGAAGGTGTTGCTAGTGTCCTCCTTCATGATTCTCCTAGAGGAGCTTCATTATTTAAATTTCTGTGCTTCCAGCTGTAATATGTTCCAAACTAATGGTGATTAAAATGGGATATATTGTCCTGGTATGGTGGCTCACACTTGTAATCCCAGTAGTTTGGGAGGCTGAGGTGGGTGGATCACTTGAAGCCAGGAGTTTAAGACCATCCTGGCTAACATGGCCAAACCCCATCTCTAATAAAAATATAAAATTTAGCCAGGCATCGTGGCATACGGCTGTAATCCCAGCTGCTCAGGAGGCTGAGGCACCGTAATCGCTTGAACCCAGGTGACGGAGGCTGTAATGAGTCAAGATTTTGCCACTGCACTACAGCCTGGGCAGCAGAGTGAGACTCTGTCTCAGAAAGAAAAAAACAGAAGAAGAAAATATAAAAGGTCATCTTTGCACGGTAGAGGAAGATAACTGAGAGAAATGAAGACAGCATGGCAGTGGCAAAAGCAATAGAGCTCTGGTCCAGCATGTCTGGATTTCATAGACAACGATTTCTGGCAGGAAGAGACAAGATAAATTGGCCTGGGATTGCATGTTGGTTTTATTATGAGAAGGCCATTTTAAATAGGAAGTATATTCTTGAAGATAACTCTTCTCATTCTCAAAATTTCAGGTTTGAATGCTGGAGTAGGGAAACTGGAAACTCTCCTTATTGAAGGATAAATGGTAATCCTAGAAATGTAGCGAGTCTGCCTGAGAAAATTCCTAGTCCAATAAGTACTCTAAAAAGTTAGATTCATAAGAAAGGTAATTCTGTTTACTAGAAGAGTTACCTAAAGAATGTTCCGTTTAGGCAGAATATGTACCTGAGACAATTTCCATGTAATTGGTGTTGGACAAAATAAGATTTTTTTTAAAGGAGTCAATAATTTTACCTTTTATGAACAACTTTACTTTAGAAATTTACTTTTAGGGACTTTCGGTTGTGCTGCACATAAGAAATATTCTTTTTTTCTCCTATGTCAGTATCCCCCATTGAAATGACAATAAGCCAATTACGAATAGAATTAGGCCTTTTTTTAGAACAGTTACTAGCCTATTGAGTTCTAGATGATTTTTTTTCAACTTTTATTATAAATTAAAGGGTACAAATACAGGTTTGTTCCATAGGTAAGTTGTGTAACACTGAGGCTTGGGGTCCCAGCTATTCCATCACACTGACAATAAACATATTACCCAGTAGATGGTTCTTCAGCCCACATCCCTTCCCTCTCTCCCCCATCTAGTGATCCTCAGTGTCTATTGTTCCCATCTTTAAGTTCTTGTGTATTCAGTGTTTACCTCCCACTTATAAGTGAGAACATGTGGTATTTGGTTTTCTGTTCCTGTATTAGATTGCTTAGGATAATGGCCTCCCACTTCATCTATTGTCCTGCAAAAAACATAATTTTTGTTCTTTCTTATGACGGCATAACATTTCATTGTGTATGTATTAGTCTGTTCTCATGCTGCTAATAAAGACATACCTGAGACGGGGTAAAGGAAAGAGATTTAATGGACTCTCAATTCTACACAGCTGGAAAGGCCTCACAATAAGTCTCTGATAGAGACTTATTCACTATCATGAAAACAGCATGGGAAAGTTCGGCCTCCGTGATTAAATTACCTCCCAATGAGTCCCTCCCATGACATGTGGGAATTATGGGAGCTAGAATTCAAGATGAGATTTGGGTGGGGACCCAGCCTAACCATATCAGTGTCTATTTACCACATTTTCCTTGTACAATCCAATGTTGATGAGCACATAAGTGGATTCCATTTCTTTGCTATTGTGAAAAGCACTACAGTGAACATAGTGAGGTGTGTGTCTTTTTGAGAGAATAAATATTTTTGGGGCATATACTCCCTAGTGGGATTGCTGGGTCAACTGGTAGGTCTATTTTAAGTTCTTTCAGAAATATCCAAACTGGTTTCCACAGTGACTGAACTAGTTTGCATACCCACCAACAGTGTAAAAGTATTTCCATTTCTCTGCAACTTCACCAGCATCTGTTGTTTTTGGACTTTTTAATATTAATAATTGTTATTCTGACTGGTGTGAGATGGTACCTCATTGTGATTTTGATTTGCATTTCTCTGATGATTAGTGATGTTGAGCATTTTTTCATATATTTGTTGGCTTCTTGTATGTCACATTTTGAGAGGTGCCTGTTCATGTCCTTTGCCCATTTTTAATTGATTTTTTTGTTTAATGCTTGTTGATTTGTTTACATTTTTTATAGATTTTGGATATTAGACATTTAGGTCCTTTAATGTAGGAAGAGTACAGGAGATAGTCAAGAAGACTTTAACAAATTTCTAAAACACAGA